ACAGTAAAAAGTTCTCATATAAAGTCACATCTCAACTCGAATTAAAAACTCGAATCTACGAACTAAACGGGTTCAATTTTTTGATTGATCACATCGGCGTGAAAACCCCTCCACGTCAGAAAAACATGCTGCTATATATGTAATTGTACTTGAGTTCAAAATCAATAACTAACTGGAGTAATGAGTTCCAAAACCCAAGTTAGAACTGAGATTTTGCTATCTACCCTATAGGTGGCGTGTGGCACCATCGTCGCTATTATAATAAATTAGGTACAACTCAATATTTTGTTAATAAAATTGACTAAGGCTGTACTTTTAGCCTATGTTTAGTAGGGTAGGGAGAGGAAGAAATTAGATGAGGGGTTTTACAAAGTAAAAGGGAATTTTGAGTTCTGGTAGAAGAAATGAGGAAAAAAGTTGTAAATTTATGGGATCCACAATTTTTTAATCCTTCCGACTTTCAAAAGAAAAGAGAAGGGAAAAATAATTTGACAAGCAATTGTCATATGTAAAATATTATTTTAACCTTAAACTGTTCACTATATTAATAGTGTTATTGTAAAATACATTATATTTGATATTTTCTTTTCACTTTTTTTTTCTTTTTACTAAACAATATGAAAAAAAAAAAAATCTTCCTTCTATTATTTTACTTTGCTCACCTAAGTATTGTACTTATATCATTCCTTTCTATTTTTCATCCCTCTTACACTATTACAGAATTTCAATTTAACGACAGTTCTAAATTGTCATTAAAGATTTTTAACGACAGTTATGCACCTATGTATATTTCTTGATGTACGACTTTTAACGTGAACACTTTCACATATATGTTATTACCGTTGATGTTAAGTCACGAAAATAATATTTTTTTTTGGCATACATTTATACGATGGGAAATTGATCAAGGTTCAAGATGTAATTAAACTTGCTTACGCTTGAGAAAAGCTGATTTATTCTAGGCCTGATTAGTCGCTACTTCAAGAACTTTCCGTTTCCTTTATTAATTCAACTAAAAGATCTAAAGCCATACGTGTCTTCTTAATCCATTAATCGTGATCTGCAAGAAGCATATAGGAAACTTGCCTTTTCATGTGCTTTCTTACTTTCTTGCCAGAAGCATATATATATATATATATATATATAATATGCCCCGTTGTTTGCTTAGTAATGTCATGCGTCTTTCTTATCCACCTGAAAAGAATTATATGAATATATATATATATATATATATGGTTTGAGATAAGCGAGAGAATGTATACTGTCCAGTAATATATACTATAAACCATTTAAATGAAACTTGAAAAACAACATTTTTGTCATTTAAAAATAAAAAACAAACAAAAACAAAAAAGAAACATAAAAAGAAAAACTTACTGACCAACATTATGAAAACAGTAGGAGTAGGAGAACCCTAAACCAAACTCTTTTGTGGCCCGTCTCTCTCTCTCTCCATTTATAATAATTGCCCACGAACTAGTGGAATACTCAGGCTGCATATTTAATTGTCTCCTCATTATTGATTTTGCATACAGGAAAGACATCTCGTATGTCACACCACCAAGTTTCCAACATATATATCTTCCCTCTTCTAAATTCCGCATTTCCCGTCCATCAAACGAAGGGAAACAAACAAGAGAACAAAAAAAAAAAAAAAACCCTCCAGAGATCATCATCTCAATCAAACATGGCTGAAGAATGCGCAGAGAATTCAGTAGCAACTTCTTCTTCCTTGGCCGTCGTGCCACAACCTAACTGGTGGGATCTTCATGGAGCTGGATCGGCTCTCTCTTCATGGTGTAATAATAATAACAGTAATACTACTTCGAGCAATACTAATAATCTAAATACATGGCATCACCAAGCTGCTCCGCCGCCTAACCCTAGTTCCAACTCCGATGAGGATGTTTCGATCTCGACTTCCTTCACCACCAACGCCTCAAACCACTCGGGCCTCACCGTCGAATCGTCTCGCCGCCTTGTGGAGCCGGCGGCTTCTTCCAGCGATGACTTGATTGCGCCCGAGCAGCAGGCTCCTTCCGATAGTCATATTTGGAGCCATGTCTTTTTGTGAGTTTCATTTTTTTTTTCTTTCAACTTTTTTGAAGTACTTTTATGAGTCTAGGATCAAAAAGATAGCTAGCTAGTTGCAGATAACGTATTTGTTTACAGCACTCAAACTTTCAATTATTGGTGCAATTCTTCCCGATCTTTTTTGATATTGGTTTGAGTGGAACGACGAATCTTTTAGCAAATGAATAATAATAATAATAATAATAATAATAATAATAATGAAAAAAAGCGTGCTTTAATGGGTTGGTGTGTGTACAGTGTACACAAGAGGATGTTTCACAGGTTAGGTTTTCCATTGTCCATTTTGAATATTATTTTTCTCTGAATACTTTCTTTTTATTCTTTTATTGATTAGCTAAAAAATCCATTATGCATGCACTGAATCAAATTAGAAACTATGTATGAAAGCAACATACTATGAGTTTCTTAGGAAATTCAACTTTTTCTCAGAAAGTTTACTTATATAATTATATATATTCATGCAGAAATGTTGGAAGTAATGGAGATTTGCAAAATCATCACGACGTGGGAGAGAACTTTCTGGACATGTTATCATCCTCAAAGACCATGTATGATCCGGCGTGTAATTACTTGAAGAAGCTGGACAGTTCTTGGGATCATGACTTCTCAAACTCTTCGTCCACTTTCAACAACTTTACAGATCACAAACCACTAAACGGTTTCAACGACACCATGAATGTTGAAAACGAAAGGCTAACAAATAAGTTGTCAAGCCTCATCAGCACATGGTCTATTGCACCACCCGAACCCGAAATCAACGATAATCGCCTTTTTAGCCCTCAAACGTGCGATATCTCCTTGAGTTCTTCCATGAATCATCATCACTTCTCACAATCACATAATCTTGGCCAGTTAAAGCCGACGCTTGGTGATTCGGCCGGATTGTTTCCTCCATGTTATTTTCATAATATGAAGGTCGAAAACGGGCATGGCGGTGGAGAGATGGAAGCCCCAGCTTCGGCGGCCACCACCGGAGCCTTACTGAGGAGATCCTTAAACAGTTCTAATGGGTCTACTGGATACCAAGTTGGCCTTAACGGCTCACCAAATATGGCCGTGGATAACGTGAAATACCATTATGGGATGCCTAGTAAAAATTTTGCAGATGTTATATCTTTTGCCGGTCGATTAGGAAAGCCCTTGATTGCTACTGATGGACCTAATAATAAGCCTTCTGTCAAGTCTTTGAGTTTGTCTGATTCTAAAAAACAAGGTCTTCCGACTTCTTCTCCACAGGTAAGCACGCTTACAATCAGTGTGATCTTTTTTTTTCCCCCCATAGATAACTTCTATAGTATAGTTGCGAAGCCATACCTCCTGAATCATTTTCTTTTGATTTTTTAATATTGTGTATTTGTTCAAATATATAGTTGCCTCACCCCTCCTTAAAATGTAAATATATATATATATATATATATGTATGTATGTATGTGTGTGGGCGCGCTCTCTCGCTTAAAAACTAAAATTATATGCCCTCCGGTCATGATTTAATTTTCTCGCTCTGCCCCTGGTATACATGGTATAGTAGGAATTTTTTAACTATTCTTTTTTGTTGTTTATTACAGCAGAAATTTTCAAAGAATTTACGTATTGTTCCTAAATAGTATACAACTCATGTTTAGTGCTATATGAAGTTTATAATCAAATGGTCTTTCTAAGTTAATAACTTTTCATGCGTTACGTCACATAGACAAGAGGCAGTACCGGAAGAGGACAGGGAAATACAAACAATGAAGGGAAGAAGAAAAGGTCTGAAGATACTAATTCAGAAACAAGCTTGAAGAAACAGAAGCAAGAAAGTTCCACGGCTTCTTCAGCAAAGGTTTATAACAGTAAATACAGAAAAATATTTGTCTTGGAAAATTATGTTTTATCAGTGGATCATGATATATGTACGGTTTTTTTTTTTTTTTTTTTTTTTAACAACAGATACAGGCACCAAAAGTCAAGCTTGGAGACAGGATCACCGCCCTTCAGCAAATTGTGTCCCCTTTCGGAAAGGTTGATGTTAATAGAAAGAACCTTGAGATAACATATAGTGGAAATGAATAAAAAATTCCCTTTAGTTTAAGCTAATATCTCTCTCTGTTTTTTTTTTGGGTTCATTTTTAGACTGATACGGCGTCAGTGTTATACGAAGCAATTCAATACATAAAGTTTCTTCAAGAGCAAGTGCAGGTGATTATCAATTTTAAAATTCTAATTTCAGTTTTTTAGTTCATATATTTTCAATTCTTTCTTGTAACTTTTTAATTTATGATATCAGCCGGTAAAGAATAGTGTTTTTAATCAGATGGGTGCTGATGTTGTTGGAAGACGTCTAATTTGATCTTAATATTTGCGTTTTTATCTCATTCAATAAAAATTTACATAATTTATCTAGAAGGAGAATATTTAGAATATGAAAGAAATTTCTATTTAGTTGGTATGAAATTTTAAGTTTTAAAAATATCATAACTTATATAATTTGATATGATTTTATTGTGATTTGACGATTAAAAGTTGTGCAAATCCCACGGAGATGATAGCTATACGACTTTAAGCGACCATTTCTTCCTCTGTTCACAACATGATTAGAAAACAGAGTACCAATTGTCAAAGTAGGTGCCACCCAAAAATCAAACATGGAATTATAATATATGCTTATACGTAGTGACCTACAATTACAAATTCTTAAATCCATAAAATGAAAGATATTATACAATAAATTGAAAAGGCACAACGCCCGAAACTAAAGTAGTACGTGTAATTGCAACAAATACTTTATTAGTTAAAAGTTATCGCATGCAAATTTTTTTTTTTTTTGTTAGTGTACTTAATTAATCATATAAAATATCATTATCATTGTTCCTGTATCAGCACGCACCATTCTTGTTACTTCACTATAATATAAAAGAGTAGATGTTTTTCCTCCTGTAGACTTTTGGTCGTCCAAAACGTTGCGTTTGGATTTTTTTTTTTTTTTTGCTTTTAATTGTATGTTATTTATAATTTATGTTCATCCCACAGTGGTTTAAAACAATAAATTTTTAGGTATTTTACTAATTTTTTTTAAAAGTTTCAATTCCTTTATTTATTTATTTTTTACTTTGTTATCTTAAATTTAGAATGTTTCATGTATTTCTATAATTGAAAATTACTTTTGTACTCAAACTATTATTAATATATACATTTTTTAAAAAGAAAAAATAATGTGTGGGGAATTTAAATTCTACATTTTTATAGTGGAATTAGGTGTACAACTTTCGTTAGGACAAAACATACTACCACTTAATATATGTTCTTTTTTAATCTCTAAGTAAAAATTTTCACTACTTTTTTTTTGCTTATTGTTGTTTGTATTTTACGTTATAAAAATTTTAATTATAACTAAATATGCACGTACCAAAACTAGTTTTAAAAACAAAAGCAAATAAGTTTTGTACTAATTCCTTAGCAATGCTTTCTGACACTATTTTTCCTTAAAAAAAAATTTGCAGTTATTGAGTAATCCGTACATGAAAACCAACTCACATAAGGTACGTAAAATCCTACTCATTTGTTTATTGTGTTTAAATTCATGGTTTTAATTCTGCTACAGTGTTTTTTTCTCATAAAAAATTTGAATTTCAAATGTCAAAATCAAGAATCACTGATTTAAACGCATGAACTAAACGAGCCATAAAAGATTATCGTCTTCTGTTTCTAAAGCCATATATGATTTTTATTTTATTTTTTAATTGTGCTTATATATATTTATTACAGGATCCATGGGGAAATTTTGATAGAAAGGACCATTTTAAGGGAGATCACGTAAAGCTTGATCTGAGGAGTAGAGGTCTTTGTTTAGTTCCGGTGTCATGTACGCCTCAGGTTTACCGTGAGAACACTGGATCCGACTACTGGACTCCAACATACCGGGGCTGTTTGTACAGATGAATATTTTAGGTTCTGCCCTATAATTTTCTCGTATTTCTTAGCTAGCTAGCTAAATCACACTGATAAGTGAAAACTGGTTTTGTTATATATTATAATTAATCGGGGAGGAGACAAATTATACTCTCTTAGAGTGCGTGAGTCTAAATTTTTACTCATTATTCTTGATTAATGTTCTTTTATAGTTAAATAATTATATCAATTAAAATGGTATTAATCAAGAATAAGAAGTAAAAATTAAGACTCATGCATTCTTAACGTCAAGTTCAGTAATTTTGTCTAATTATATCAGCAGTTTCAAAGTGACGCATCCCAGTCCTAAAAGCCTATCTGCATGAGAAATGATCAGTCAACCATATATATGTATATATAGTTGGTAGGTTATTTGGTACTTATAATCTTCTTGTGATCAATATTGTATAACTTCATGAGTTCACCTTACTGATCATGCGTACATGTTAATGAAAAATGTCATTCATATATCATGAACGAGGATTCATAAGTTGAAGGTTTAATTATCAGGCAATGATTTGTGCACCATATTTAATTGTGACAAGTTAAATTTTTTGAATGCCGACCTGTAGTTTCTAGTTGTCTTAATCTTATATTTTTTGTTACGCTTTTATCAAATTAGCGAATTGATACTAATTCGGTACCACGTAGTACTTTAAAAAAAAAAAAAAAAAGTGTCGCGTTTACCTACTTTCCCGCTTTTTAAGACTTATCCTCAATTTCTTTTTTAAATAAATGCTATAAATAAGTTTCTTTAATGCACAAAATTCTAAATAAATCAAAAGACAAAAAAGAAACAAAAAAAAAAAACCAATTAGCCCCTTTAAAAAAAATGATGGGGTTTTCATTCTTTTTAAAAACTTTTATTTGTTTAATGTGTTTTTAGTTTTTACACTGAAACAGAAAGGGTATTTCTTGTTGCAAAAAAAAGCCTGAAAAATACTTTTTTAAAGTAAGAAAATATAAATTTAGAAAATACTTAAAAAACTAAAATACCAATCTACTAATTCATTAAAACCATCTACTGGGATTACTTTTCTCTATTTCATGAAAACTTTATTGACCATTTCTGAACAACATGGTCTTTTCGGGAAGTTTTTTGCTCGAACCTAAGGATACAGAGTTGATTCCCGTTGTATTAATCTAAGAATAAATGTAACCAACTTTGATGGATTGGCCCCAAAATCACTTTTGAATATCATTCGCTCATCTCATGTGCATGCTTGGCAGCTTGCGCTAGTGGAGGATGCTTCGTTTAAGCTGATGGAGAATTCAAGAAAATATATACATATACATATATATATATATATATATATATATGATGGAGAACATGGTACTGTGCAATATAACTATAACCTTAACAACAAACAGGAGACAGAATGCTATACAGAAAGTGAGTAAAATTCTTAGTTATGTGTGTGTGTGTTTGATCTTTAAGTAGATTTCTGCTACTTGTAGGGTAGGATATACTCATGCTTTTCACAATATATACACATATGACTGGCATATTCCAATATTCGAAAGTAATAATTCGTTAAAATTAATACTTCATCAAATAGGGTATTATTTCTATTTCAGAATTCATTCCAAAACTAAACCAAACATACATTTACGGTCTTTTATTTGTATTTATATATATATATATATTCTTATACCACTAAAATATATGTATATATATATATATATTCTTTCCACCAAACTAAAGTTGAATATACACAACCGTCCACGTACCTGAATTCAACGTTGTATCATGCATTCTACAGATTGAAGAGTAAATTCTAAATAGTAAATAGTAGTTAATGAATAAGTTTATAAAACTGATAAATAGTAAATAGGCTAATGGTTTTTCTCAGCAAGTGCAATATATATTGTGGCATTTATTTCTTATAACAATAACTCTGTAAATTAAGTTATAGTAAAAAGATATCACATATTAGTAATATTGCACATTTTTAAAGTCACTGATATATAAGAGAAATTTCATGTTACAGACCCCAATTCTACATATTATAGTAGGATAAATACTCTATAAAAGGCTTAAGATATAAGACCCTATATATAAATAAAAAGAAAATTGTAATTAAATAGAATGAGGAGATTTGTGGGGTATCTACTTAATTAAAATGTCGCATTTTTTACGTTGACCGTTACATAATTTATTAAAATAAATGAAACATATATAGATATAATTATGAGAATACGTTAAGAAATTAATCATGTGTATACTTGCGGTTATCAATTTCCGAATCGACCCAACTATGTATTAAACACAGAGATGATCCCTTTCGTGTTTTAACATTGTATATATAATTGCATCTAGTTATAAATTTGATTAGGCCACCCATCAAAAGTAGTAATAAATTTATTTGGCCAGTAATTGATTCTTCATATGTTTCATGATGAGCACATGATCAAGAAAAATAGAAATTTCCATTTGTGGGAGAATGCTTCTAGAAGCAACAAAGTTAATGGAAAACAAGAGTTAATGCTATACCATGTGGTCAAAGGGAAAGATGATCAACATAAAGTACATAAGGACCAAAGTGATGGTGCACTTCGAGATGTATTGTTACGTTTGCTGAATCAAGAAGCTCAGTGCTCAGAAGACTCTCTGCTCACCTCTACCTTGAAAAAGTACATAATGTGTCACTAAAAAAATTGATTTTAATATATACGTGCCCCCGTTTGGTTCATAGATTATAATTATAAGATTAGAATTATTTTTGATTTACGTGTGTTTTTTAAGAGAGAAAATACTGTAGCGAATCATGAACCATGATTCGAATCAGAGAATGAATCTTCCAACCAAATGGACATATTTTCAATGGTTTTATGTCAAAAATTGATCGAGTGTGAATATGTGTTTGTGAATAAACGTTGTATAGTGGCATAGGTAGGACCCGTTCATTTTATTGATTTGAGTTATTTGAGTTTTATTATAGTAAAAAGCTCTCAGAAACAGTCACATCTAATTTTTTTAGTACAGTAAAAAGTTCTCACATAAAATCACATCTCAACTCGAATCATCAAACTAAACGGGTCCTAAGTTAAAAAATAGTTTTGATATTGAGTGGACAAAGGAAGCTGTTTTATTTCTGCAATGGTAAGAAAGTAGGATCGCGTGGGATAATTAGAAGGCTTTTATTGTGTATTGCTAATGTCTTTCGTCGAATCGTATGAGTTGTATGAATGGTCTTGAAGGCTACGATAATATTATTAGAAAATCAATCTTTGCGGAACAAAAGTACTTTGCTTCATCTGAAATGATTTTAAATAAATGAATCTTCAAAGTTTAAACGATTAGCCAATGTTTTTGTGATAGTTTTATAAACCACATTACAAAGACTAATAATATGAAAATCTGATACCTTCTTAGGACTTTCAACATTCAGGATGAGAATAATATGACCATGTTTGGAGTTAGTTTTGTTTTTATTTTTTACATTTTTTGAAAAAGAAAAAATAAAAATGAGGGAGAAACGACGTTTGACATAATTAAAGACAAAAAATAAATATGAAAACAATTTTTTAGTTTAGTGTAAAATAGAAGAGAAATGAAAAACGACTTCTAGTCGTTTTTCATTTCTTGTTTTTATTTTCTCCTCTCTCGAGAAATAATCTCTTGATAAAATTACTAAACGCATTTTCAAAAATAATTTCTGTGTGAGATTGAAAACATTTTCATTTTCATTTTCATACAAAAAATAAAATCATTTTAAAACGAATTCTAAACACACACTATATATTTCATTTAAATCTCAAATAGATCGTTGATCATTAAGCACGCGTAAGCACACTTAAGTAATATCCGCCCCCCACTACTTCCGGATTCTTCTGATAAAATCCTATGAGAAAACCATCAGGTGATTTTCAGGGACCCATACTAAAGAGAGCATCACAGACTTCTTTTGCTGAGAAAGGAGCATCCAGAAACTCTATTAATGAAGACACTTCCCTATCAACACCCATGAGAACTTCCTCCTACACTTCCTCGTCAGGTAGTGAAGTCAAGAAAATATCAGTAAAATAATGGGACGTTTGGTTCATGAATTTAAAATCATGATTAAAAATTATTTTCATTTTACGTGTGTTTTTTGTTAGAAAAAATACTGTAACAATCCACGAACTATGATTCGAATCATAGCACGAATCTCCCTTCTAAACGTCCCCTAAGACTTTAATTCTTCACCAATCTCTTCTTGCGTATACACCATAGACCCATCAGTCTTGGCAAGACATTTAATCCCATTTTTGTCTCGTCTCTATGAAGCCTTGGCATGAAAAAATTTCTTGTTTTTGTTTTTGTTTTTTATGTTTTTTGAGAAATAAAAAATAAAAATAATTTTAAAATGGCGTTTGGTACAATTAAAGATAAAAAATGGAAATGAAAATGATTTTTTAGTTTAGTATAAAATGAGAGATAAATGAAAAATTTTCTCATTTTTTGTTTTCGTTTTCTCCTCTCTCGAGCAGAGAGAGAGACATTAATGGGTCTTTTATACTGAAAATAATCTCTTGATAAAACTATCAAACGTATTTTCAAAAATAATTTTTGTCTGAGATTAAAAACGTTTTCATTTTTATTTTTATATAAAAAATAAAATCATTTTAGAATGAGTTCTAAACGCGTACCCTTTGTGTTCTTGTCCCTACCTTTTAAACATTCGGTCTCGATGTTTGCTTCCAATAGTATTCTTCAAGGGCTAAAAGATGATCTAATTCCGTTTCCAGCTTACGGATCTGAAGCTTAACCTTCAAACACTAAACGAAATTCTTTAACCTTCAACACCCTTAACCCTTCATATATCAATCATAGTAGACTGAAAATACCATTTATTATACGGTTTCAATGATGGTAGTTTTCCCATTAAACCACATTTCATAGCATTTCGACCTCAACGTCATCGATCGCAATTACTTCTTCCTCTTTAGCCTCAATAGAGAGATTTTTCCAACATCCCCTAACCTCATCCATCAATAAACTAAATAGTAAACAAAAACTCACAGATGCTCACACTGAAGGTGAGTGTCACCTCTCACAAAATGCTGGGGAAAGGAATCAAGAGCAATAGGAGAGAAGGAAAAAAAAAAAAAAAAAAAAAAACCCTTACTGAAATCTTCCCAAATAGCTTATTTCACTTTTATACTCAAAATAATATCATTTTGAAAGCTTACCAAATTGAACTGGTACGAGAGTTTAAGGTTGTGTTTGGTATGAGAATTCAAATTAAGGTGATTTTAATTTTAAAATTAGAACCATAATTTATAATTTGAACATGTGGTTTAAACTATGGTTCTGTAATTGAAATCAGAACTAGAGGTTTGAATCATTCAAAACCGAGAGGGGGTGGTTTTATTTTACGGAGTGGTTTTAGTTTAAAACAACCATTCAAATCAAACACTGACTTTCATGAGCCATTATTTACTTTTTACAAACAAATAAAGATTGAAACCATAATCATAGTTCGAATCATGGTGTGTTTGGTAAGGGGATTCGTACCCTGATTCGAATAATGGTTCATGGTTCGATACAATATTTTCTCTCACAAAAAATACACGTAAATCGAAAATGATTATAATCTCGTGATTCTAATCCATGAACCAAACGTCTGGTTTGAAGTTTGAACCTAAAATTTTGATTTAAACCAATGTTTGTTTGTAAAAAGTAAAAAGTTATTTGAACCTTTAATGTGACATTTAAAACATAAAAAAAAGGTTTCTAAACTTTAGCACCTTGATTCTTATAGTTTATATGTGAATACGTTACAGATCTACAAAATATATATAATTTTAGAAAGATATATATAAATTGAATTGGTTTGGTTTTTTAAAAGTTAAAACCATAAACTAAATTAATTTAATTCATTTTTTAGAAATTTAAACAAAACTAAATCGATTATTAATTGGTTTGGTTTTATTTGGTTAGTTTGAATAATTTGAATGGTTTGTAGCACGCTCTTAACATCTCTCAAGAGTACATAGCAACTCCTTCCCATTTCCTTCAATAAGTTCTCGAGACCATGTCATTAGACCAAATGGACTCGAGGGTTTAAGTGGTTTGAACTCAAAATTAGTGTTTGTTTGTAAAAAGTAAAAAGTGGTTCGAATTCTTTATGTGACATTTAAAACATGAAAAACAAAGGATTTCTAAACTTAACCCCCTTAATTATCATGGTTTGAACCCAAATTAACCTTATAGTTCAAAACTCACTTAGTTCAAACTCAAAGTGCGTGTTTAGAACCGTTTTTGAAAACAGTTTTCACGTATTTTGAGAAACAAAAAATGAAAATGAAAACGAAACGATATTTGTTTAGTAAATGTTTTGAAAATGAAAACAATGAATAGTTTTTGTGAAGGAATTAGAAAACAGTTGAAAGTTGTTTTCAATTTTTAATTTTCATTTTTAATACTTATCAATAAATTATAATATATTAATTAATAAACACAATTTTATTTTTTTATTATACTCAAAATAATTTATTAAAAAATTAACTAAGCACAAATTCAAAATCAATCTTAAAATGATTATCAAAATAATCTCATTTCTACTTTTTATTAAAAATAAAATTATTTTAAAATTAATTCTAAAAGCAACCAAAATTCAAATCAACTTGATTTGAATTTCCATGCCAAACCGACCTTAGTTCTACGACCTTAATTTTGATAAATAATCCTACGACAATGAAAAGAGGCCAAAATACCCCCCCGCTCGTCGTTTTGGCGTAGCGCCTTTTTCCGACCCTTCCCCCTTTTTTCTTTCCCTTTGTCTGACAGCGCTTCGTTTCTTCTCCACAGCTTCCACTCCCAGAAATCCTCTCTCTCCGTCCGCCATTACTGTTTCTCTCTCCTAGGGTTCCGACCAGACGCTATGAAATGAAGCGCGTCTTCGAAGAAATATCCGACGACGAGTGGGAAAACCACTCCTTCAAACCCTCGCGAGTCCTCAACAAGGACCCACAGAAACCCTCGCCTCCTCCGATTGAGTCATTTTCCTACAATTCCTCCTCGAAGCAGGACGACGACGACGATTGCCTCGTGGTGAGTGATGATTTAGAGGATGACGACGCCGATGTCGAGAAGGTGAGGCCGGCGAGACGCAGCCGTCGGTTCGTGATCGACGACGATGAGGAGAGCGACGTGGAGCTCCCCGAAGTGGTCGAGGTGAAGTCGACGACTGAGGATGAGGAGGAGGAAGATGAAGAAGGAGGTGAGGATGAGGACGATGTGGTTGGGAAGGCTTTGCAGAAGTGTGCGAAGATCTCGGCTGAGTTGAGGAAGGAGCTCTACGGCTCTTCTGTCGCGGCCTGCGATGGCTATGCGGAAGTGGTGGCTTCTTCGGTCAAAATAGTAACTCAGGTAGGTGCATTGAGGCTGGGAAAGTTCATTTTTTGTTTTCAAGTTAAATGCTTTGGTGAGTAAAATTTGACAAACCAAAAGTTGTGGATTTGTGTTGTCAATGAGAATTCTTCAGGAGCTCAATTTCATTTAGAAAAATGAAAATGGTGTTTCATAATGATGCATTCTTACTATATTTTTGGAAGAGGTGCAGAATGACACGCATTACTTTGGAAACTTTATTGTGATATACTGGAAAAGAAGGTTTCTATTTCTTATGATTTTCTATCAATTCTTTATAGGGGATCTCTCATATTCACATAGGAAATTTGTCCACTAACCACTCTTAGTTACTAAAATACTATGAGATTGTTGATCTGATATATAAGACACATCCCCCAATACTTATAAAAAATATGCTTATCAAGTTTTTCCAATATATAATGGATGCAAGATGTTCTTTTTCCCTTTATCGGATTCTCTGTCATTTTCTGTGATATTTAGTGTTATAAGATGTTGCAGTAATGTTATATACGAAAAACATTCCACCTCTTAGCTGTTTCATGAGATCTTTGAGAGGAATGAATAGGCATAGCTTCCATGGCTCTTAGAAGTGGATATTTCTCACAATGACTGCCCTGATAGTTTAGTCCTTTAACAGAGATATCCTAAGGTTGGTTTAAAGGGATTGGAAAAATTAGGTGCAGTTGGTTCAAATAATTTGTTGGAATGACGTGTTTCAATTGTGACTCAGGTGTCAGTTTATCCATTTTGGCATAAGAACTAGTACATGTTTTGGTCTTCTTTAGTTCAGCAGATTATTATAGGAAAGCAATTGATAACTAAAATGTTGGCTGAGTCAGTTAATGAGGAAAATTGAAACCTAAAATGAAGAAATATTTAATTGATAAACAAGGAAAGCCTTTAAAACGGGAAGAGGTCCTTTGAGATCCTTTTGGAATCTTTGTAGTTTTGGAAGAGAGAGAACTAAGATAGAATACCTAAAACTGTTTCTTGTATTTATTTTTCTGGGTTGTGCATGTTTGAACTTTCCGCAATGAGGTAGAGTTTTGCTTTCTGGTTTGCTTTCCATGTTCACCTGAAATAAAATGGATAAGTTTATATTGTTCTTGTCTTCTTTTGTTTATTGATATTCTACTATCCAAATTCCAAATCCATCACAGAATTTATTAGCTTTTTAGCTGTATTTCTTTTTTTTTTTTTTTTTTTTTTTTTTTTTTGTTGTTGTTGGAAAGTGATGAGGTCCCATTTATTTTCTGTAGGATGATATTGAGGCAGCATGCAGATCGGAGGATTCAGATTTTGAGCCCGTTCTGAAGCCATACCAGTTGGTTGGTGTCAACTTTCTTCTGCTGTTGCATCGAAGGGGTATTGGGGGAGGTACTTTCTTTTTTATTTATTTATTATCTTTTGCTTCATCGTCCTCTTCCTCTTCCTCTTGCTCTCTCTTTTTCTTTCCTTATTTTAAATTTGTATAGACTGATAGTGTACCAAAACTAATTTTTAATTTTCAGGGGCTTTTTTTCTGTCTGATTTAGCTAGGAATTGGGCTCCTATTTGTAGATTAGGATGAGTTTTCTTTTCCTTGTGACATATTTTCTTTTTCCTCTCCTTGTAATTAATTTTTTTTTTTCAATATTAGTTTCTTGTTTCAAAAAGATTATAATATCACTAGTTACTACGAAAAGGTAGTGTCCTGCTTGCGTCCTTCTATAGGTTAGAATCTTGAGGTGAATTTATATGTTCAGTATAGGTTAGAATCTTGAGGTGAATTTATATGTTCAGTTGCTAATGTGTACGGCTATATATATAGTCCCAAACATGATAACTTGCTTTGTATTTTATGTAGCTATATTGGCCGATGAGATGGGTCTTGGGAAGACTATTCAGGTATCTCACCATTCCGTCTTACCGAGTCTAGTCTTAATGTTGATTATTGCTTTTGTTGTTACATTGGCATTTAAAGTTTTAAGATTGCAACACGTTTCTTGTCTTTCAGGCTATCACATACTTGATGTTATTGAAACATTTAAACGATGATCCTGGTCCACATTTGATTGTATGTCCTGCTTCAGTGTTGGAAAACTGGGAAAGAGAACTCAAGAAATGGTGCCCGTCATTTTCTGTTCTTCAGTACCATGGATCCGTACGATCGGAATATGCAAAACAGTTGAACTCATTGTCAAAAGCTAGATTGCCACCTCCTTTTAATGTTCTTCTTGTTTGCTATTCGCGTTTTGACAGACACAGGTTTGCTTTGCATATACCACCTTGGCAATTCTGTTGTAGTTTTAGTCTATCTTAATAACGATTCTCATTAAATTATTTCAGTGCACGGCAGAAGGATGATCGTAAAATGCTTAAACGTTGGCGTTGGAGCTGCGTACTCATGGATGAGGCCCATGCTTTGAAGGATAAAAACAGTCATAGGTGGAAAAACTTAATGGGTGTTGCACAAAATGCAAATCTGCGGTTAATGCTGACAGGAACACCACTACAAAATGATTTACATGTACTGATTCTTTTTCTTTGACCTTTTATTGCCACAGTTTTATCATTTATGCTGTAGAATTATCATTGAACTGCAACTGTTGAATTTTCCTTGTGTTGCGTGAAAAATTTCATGAAGAAAAGACCATGCAATTATCTGATATTATGTATGACGCCGATTAATTTTACATGGCTTGAATGGCCTTTCTCTGCTAAGTACTAAGAGCTTGCGTGATGTGAATTTGGAGTTTAAGTTTTGAGGACATCCTTGGGATTGTATATTGGGAATTCGGTGCAGCAATGGAAATGACATGATTGGTGCAGCATAGAGCTGGAAAAATGTCTTGCCGTTGTATGATACTGGTTGCAATCAAGGTGAAGCACTAATAGTGGCAATGCTAACTTGAGATGCAGCACAGTTTGTCGTTTGCTTCTTTTTTCTTTGGAGAATATTTGTTGTCAGTAAGATGGGTAGACATTGTTCATTCTCTTTCTGCTGGAGTTGTGAAACTATACGTCTAAGTGCTTTTATGGATATTCCAAACAGCCATGTGCCCTTTCATTTAATGTAGTATTTCTGAAATCATAGTGCTAGTTATGTTTTGCTGAGTTTCAGTTTCTTCTCGCTCTCTTTTTTTCCCTTTTTTTTGTTGTTGTTATTGTTGGCTGCTTTCTGATTTACTCTTCCCCCTTTATAATATATATAATTTTGTTTTATATGTCACGATTGCAGGAATTATGGTCTCTGTTAGAATTTATGATGCCTAATATTTTTTGTACTGAGGATGTCGACTTGAAAAAATTATTAAATGCTGATGATAGAGATTTAGTTGGCCGCATGAAGTCCATTTTGGGACCATTCATATTGAGACGTCTAAAATCTGATGTTATGCAGCAACTTGTTCCAAAAATACAGAAGGTATGCCAAATGAATTTTTCTCATCTGCCTGATTTCTGTTTGAATCTAGTTTTGTATATCTGCGTTCAAGTTCTGTTTGATTTCTTTTGGCTAATTTTTGTTTTATCGTAATGGATTTGAGAATTTGTGTGCAGGTTGAGTATGTGTTGATGGAAAAGCAACAAGCAGATGCCTATAGTGAAGCCATTGAGGAGTATCGTGCAGCTTCACGTGCTCGCATGGCAAAAAATTCAGACACGAATCCAACCAATGTTTTCGGGGTGCTTCCACGAAAGCAAATCTCCAGCTACTTTTTCCAATTGCGTAAGGTGCTAATTTCTCGTTCTACAATGTTTTCATCATTCCATTTCTACATTGATAAATAATCAAATCTATTTTATGCTTATTTATAGTTCTTTTGTTGTGTTTTCTCATCTTTCCCCCTTTCTAGATTGCAAGTCACCCTTTATTGGTGAGGCGTATTTACAGTGATGAGGATGTTGTTCGTTTTGCTAGAAGGTTATATCCAATGGGTGCATTTGGCTTTGAATGCTCTGTAGACAAAGTAATTGGCGAATTCATGAATTATAATGACTTCTCTATCCACAGGGTAACAGTTCTAGTTCTTGTGAACGTTGCTCTTCCTTTCTTCTCATGTTTAAGTATGCTGAAGAAAATTCAATTAGCAATTAAAAAGAATTTGAGATTTTTGCTTTTTCCATGGTGCACATAAAGAGAATTTTTATAAATAAGTTAATGTCGTACTGAAGAGCTATGTATGCTTATTTTATGGTTTTAACACAAGATTCTCTTTGTTTTATGTTTAATCTTGAGCAACAATAGATAAGATTAATAAAGTTCAATAGTGCATGCTTATCATGACTTGTTCAGATGTTTAAAAGTTTCAAGAGAACCATAAGCGAATCCTAAACCTTATGTATAGAAGTGTAGTATAAAATCACTTTTGACTTTCTGTTTATTTAAAAAGTCTGCATAACCATATAAGCTCCAGAATTGTCCAAATTATGAAATGAACGATTGTATGCTTTTCAATTTTTTCAATTGGTAAGAAGAATGACTGTCAGTGGAACATATTTTGGTTTGACTGAATGTGGTTTGATTCTGTTTCCTTTGTTTCTGAGGTCAAATGAAAAACTAAATTATTGGAAAAATGCAAGTAACTTGATGGACATGAGATTCTAAATTTGTGATAACTCATATTTGAAGCTTTCAAAAAATTTTCATGGAACCTTGAGCACAATCAAGGACGTTCTCGATTCATTATTCTCTGAATAGTGATTGGCTTTTGCTGGGGAGGCCAAATCCTTGTTTTTCCTGCCTCTATTAAATTTCCAAGTAAAGAAAACTGCCATGCATGATTTGGTCATTTCATTTGCAACCTGTGTCGGATTTGTCAGTATTTCTAAGAATAAATTAGGATATTTTATTTATGCAAATAAGTCAGGATTACCTGGTAGTTTCCATTCCTAGTTTCTAGGAAATAATTAGCTGATTCTGAGTAACTATAATTGTTGATTTTGTGGGCCTTGCTCTGCTATTTAAGTTTGTATCCGATTCATTGTCTTTCAAGGGAATAATAAAATTTCTTCTTCCCTAAAACCTAAATGGTATCAGAATGAGAGGTCTTGAGTTCAAATCCCCGTAATTGCACTCGTTATTTCCATTTAAATTGTCATAATGTGTTGGGTCTTTAATATATCTCGGGCTTAAATATTCACGTGTTGGGCTTTTCAATTAATTTACCCACACGATTGCCCATTGTCCAGCCCACACATGAGGGGGAGTGTTAAAGTATAAAAACTATTGTTGGCCCACCTCCTAACAGCTTAAGCTTTTGGGATGGAGTGGTAAACTAACATGATATCAGAGCCGCTGTGCTCTTCCCTTCTTACTCCACGATGTCGTACAGGGCAGCAATGACCAGCACCCAAAAAAACTCTACAACCTCCTCAGGTTCTTCCGAAATCAATAATCCTACCCCTGCAACCCCTTCCGTTCCAGCCTCAACAGATTTCTATTCATAGAGCTCCAATCTACAACTTACAGGCACGAAACTCAATGGGCAAAATTACCTTGAGTGGGCTCAGTCCGTGAAGTTGGTGATCGACGGTAGAGGCAAGATTGGGCATTTAACCGGCGAAATCTCTAAACCTGTTGTAGGAGATCCTCATCTAAAAAAATGGCAATCCGAGAATTCTCTTGTCATTGCTTGGCTCATAAATTCAATGGAACCAACCATTGGGAAGCCACACCTATTTCTTCGTACTGCTCGAGAGGTGTGGGAGGCTGTTCGTGATCTTTACTCGGATCTTGAGAATCCCTCTCAAATATTCGAGTTGAAAACCCAACTTTGGCAATCCAAGCAAAATGATTGTAATGTCACCACCTATTACAATGAATTGGTGACATGTGGTAGGAACTTGATCAGTGCTATGATGATACCTGGGAGAATTCCAATGACTATGCTCGTCACAAGAAAAGAGAAGAAAACAACAGGGTTTACATGTTTTTAGCCGGACTTAATTGGAATTTGGACAAGGTCTGAGGCCGAATTCATGGCAGGAAATCTCTGTCTCCTATTCGGGAAGTTTTTTCTGAGGTTAGACGTGAAGAAGCAAGGAGGAAAAATATGCTACACAACAATGAAACCGGTTCTAACCTGGAGACTAAAAGCTCAGCCCTTGTATCCAGAGGTATTGATTCTGAAAATGAAGGATGTAAGAAACCGTGGTGCGAACACTGCAAGAAGCCATGGCATATGAAGGACACATGCTGGAAACTGCATAGTAAACCAGCAACTTGGAAACCAAAATCCAAACGCGATGGTCGAGCCTACCAAGCCACGACGGAAAAGTCTCAGGAGTTTTCCTCCAACTCGGAGACAGTCCCTTTCACTAAGGAGCAATTGGAGCACCTGTACAAACTATCTCAATCTCCAAAATTATCCTTAACCCCATCATGTTCTTTGGGTCAGAAGGGTAATTCTTTAACCACTGCTTGTTTGAGTGCCAGTCCAAATTATGTTCATTCCTGGATCATTGATTCCGGTGCAACTGACCATATGACTTGTTGCCCTAAGTTGTTCTCATCATATAGTCCTTGTGCAGGCAATAAAAAGGTCAAGATTGCAGACGGTTCACTCTCAGTAATTGTTGGGATAGGAACTGTCAAACTCACTCCTTTGTTAACTCTTCATGATGTGCTTCACGTTCCCAATTTGTCGTGTAATTTGTTGTCCATTAGTAAAATTACTAATGATCATCAGTGTCAAGCTAAATTCTATTCTTCTTTTTGTGAGTTTCAAGACTTGACCTCGGGGAGGATGATTGGCAGTGCTAGGGAAAAATATGGACTCTACTATTTTGAAGATGGATCTGACTTGAATAAACGATGTCAAAGTACTAGTTTAACTTTTGTTTCTGTTTTCAAAGACAGTGATGTTATGTTATGGCTATAGGCTAGGCCACCCTAATTTTCAGTATTTAAAATACTTGTTTCCAAAGTTATTCCGAAATAAAAATCCATATTTTTTTCAATGTGAAGTGTGTCAGTTTGCGAAACATCATCGTACATCTTTTCCTCCTCAACCTTACAAACCAACCACACCATTTACTCATTCATAGTGATATTTGGGGCCCATGTAGAACACCTACGTTTTCTGGTAAAAGATGGTTTGTGACCTTTATTGATGATCACACAAGATTAAGTTGGGTTTATTTGATGAAGGAAAAATTTGAAGTGGAAACAATTTTCAAAAATTTTTACACCATGGTACAAACTCAATTTCAAAAAACCATTCAAATTTTACGGAGTGACAATGGTCGCGAATATTTCAAAAAGGTTTTGGATTCTTTTTTCTTGAAAAAGGAATTGTTCACCAAAGTTCTTGTATTGACACTCCACAACAAAATGGTGTTGCCAAAAGAAAAAAACAAACACCTCTTGCTCGGGCTTTACTTTTTACCAATAAAGTACCAAAATATCTTTGGGTAGAAGCGGTTCTTACCGCTACATATCTTATAAATAGGATGCCTAATAAAGTTCTGAACTTTAAAACACCTCTTGATATTTTTCATATTTTTTATCCAACAAATAGGCTATCCTCTTCTTTACCCTTCAAGATATTTGGATGTACTGCATTCATTCACATTCATAATCATAATTGTGGAAAGCTTGAGCCCCGAGCCACAAAATGTGTGTTTGTTGGTTATGCTCCTACTCAAAAAGGGTATAAATGTTTTGAACCTATTTCCAAAAAAATGTTTGTTACCATGGATGTTACCTTTTTTGAATTGCAACCATACTACATGTCTCATCTTGAGAGGGGTGGGGGGGAATCAAATCCAAGATTCGGCTTACTATGATGTTTTTCAAACAGAAAATACTCTCCCCACTTTGTTCATTCAACCTGAAAATCTAGAAAATCCAAATGTTGCTATACCAGAAGAAAGGGAGTCAAGTGTTTCAGATACTAAAAGTGGAACTATGCCGTCTCATAATGATCATGACTCCACAACCCTTGACAGAGGAACTTAAGGGATTAAACCATTTGACATCGTTTATTCGAGGCGGAAGACATCTCAAAAGAATGAGCCTTCCAATCCCTTACACTGCCTAAAATCCGTAAATCCTCCAGGTAAGGTTCCTACCGAGTCCTTGCAAAATGTTCAACCTATTTCATCCTCAAGTTCTGAGTCCCCTAGTCCAGAAACTGAGTCAAGTTCCAATTCTGAGTCAGATGATTTAGACATTCCTATTGCACAATGGAAAGGTGTATGGACGTGCACCAAACATTCTTTATTCCATTATGTGTCATTCGAGAAACTCTCACCTAGTTTTCATGCTTTTACCTCTCACTTGTCGAATTTGGAGATTCCTAATAGTGTGCAGGATGCTTTGAAAGTTCCTGAGTGGAAGGAGGCTATTTTCGAGGAGATGAAGGCTCTTGAGAAGAATAGCACGTGGGAGTTAGTAGAACTGCCGAGAGGGAAGACAACTGTAGGGTGCAAATGGGTGTTCATTGTCAAATATAAGGCGGATGGTTATCTAGAACGATACAAAGCACGTCTGGTTGCCAAGGGATTCACTCAAACCTATGGCATTGATTACCAGGAAACTTTTTCTCCAATAGCGAAGCTAAATACCGTGAGAGTCCTATCTCTAGCTGCTAATCTTGATTGGCCACTACAGCAGTTGGATGTTAAGAATGCATTCCTCAATGGGGACTTAGAGGAAGAAGTATACACGGATGCACCACCAGGATTTGATGGAAAGTTTGGTACAAAGGTATGTAAGCTGAGGAAATCTTTATATGGATTGAAGCAGTCACCTAGGGCCTGGTTCGAGAAGTTTACTCAGTTTGTTAAAAGTTAGGGGTATATTCAAGGGCAAGCCGATCATACTATGTTCTTCAGACATTCACAGGATGGAAAGATGGTTGTGCTAATTGGATATGTGGATGACATAATTCTAACTGGAGATGACATATATGAGATAAGCAGGTTGAAGACTTCCCTCTCCTCAACTTTCGAGATCAAGGATCTGAGATCTTTGAGGTATTTTCTGGGCATGGAGGTTGCAAGATCAAAG